CTGATACCTGATCCCATCGACACCTCATGATCACACAGGCTGGTGTTCTTCTTCCATGTGGGCTTTGTTGCTTCTCAGCTACATGTCCACTTGTTTATCTTCAAGCCTGTAAGACCCCAGATGCTATATCTTTTGATAGCCAGGCACCATCAGCTTTCTTCACCACATTTGTTATGCACCTATTTTTGTCTTCAGCGATCATATTGGGAAGGTGAGCATCATGGAATGCCAAGGTTATTAGAGCAAAGTTTTCTTGTGTTGAGGGAAGCCCAATGTCCGTCTGCTACCTTGATAATTAACATATAAATATATGTACATAGATCTATTTCCCTATTGTTACATATAAATATATTTACATATGTTCCTGCTTGTATTTAGACCTCTATACATTCCCTTTGCCTCCTAGTCCTTTCCTCTATTTCCATTTACTTTCCTCTTGTCCCACTATCATATTTGGCCTTCATTCGGGTTTCAGTAATTCCTCTCCGTTACATTGCCTTGATCAAGCCCTAGCTGGCATCCTATGCCCTCATCGCCATCGATTTTAGATCACTTGTTGTTCCCTTGTCCCTGTGTTTGTTAACACCCACTTCCTTTCCCGAGCTCCACTCTCCCATGTCCCCCACCCCCATTCCTGGAACCATCGGTCCCATTGCTTTCTCCTCTCGATTAGTTATCCTGCCTATCTTATATAGATAGATATGCAGAGACTATAGTAAGCACAAAAACAAGAGAGCAAAACAAAATAAAAAAACTGCAAAACCAAATAACACCCGAAAAGAAAAGCCTATATATAGCTCCAGTTCTGTTTGTTGACTTTTTAGGAATGTTTCAGGTCGACTCTGATAGGGTGCCATGCCCTGGCCCCAAAGTCTATTTTTGGTATTCCCGGGACTTCGTTGCTTTGCTTCCCTTGCTGCTCTCATGCAAGCCTTTAGTGTTTTGCCCTGGAGTGGTAGGGTCAGATTGGGCACAGTTACCATGCTGTGCCTTCAGTGTTGTTCCTCGTAGTAAAATGGGTCAGTGAGGGATGTCTTGTCTCATGGTGGTGCCAACCCTATGGTCCTCTCTGTGCATTGGATGCTCTGAACAGGAATATCGTCCTCGGGGCTTGGTGGGTCAGGATATGTTCCACTCTCTCTCCTTCCCTCTTTGATTGCTCCTATGTGCTCTGATCAGATGTTCCCCTCTACCTGATGTAGCTTCAGTGCTGTCCTCTGTGGTGCATTCTTCTGGGGGGGGTGTCCATGTAATTGGGATTGGGGCCGGCCATGCAGACCTCTATCTATTGGTTCCCTGCTTCATGCTAGTATGTTACATGCACGTCTTGGCACACTGGGTTGAAGTCTGATCCCTCTCTCCCTCTCCTGTGGCGATAAAAGCAACACCCTTCCCTTGATTGCGTTAGTGCCCTTTTCCCCTGATACCCATGTCTTTTTTCCCCCTCCTTTTTAGTTGACTGCCATATGTGTCCCTGGATTGGGTCTAGCCTCTGTCATAGTACCTGGACCTCACCCCAGGAATGAATGTATATAATAGCTTTTCCCTTATGCCCCTTTTGCATTTTTAAGCTTACCTCATTGGACTCATGTTGTACTTGTCCTTTTGTGCGTGGCTTACTTCACTTAGTGTAATTTCCTCCAGTTCTTCCCATGTGGCAATATGCTTCATGCATTCATCACTGTTTTTTAGGGATGTGTTATACTCCATTGTATGTATGTACCACAGTTTTTTTATCCATTCGTCTGTTGAAGGAAATTTGGGTTGTTTCCAACTCCTTGCAATTGTGAACTGTGCTGCGATGAACATTGGAGCACAGATGTCAGGCCATGGTTTGTTTCTTGCCTCTTCTGGGTATATGCCCAGTAGGGGGATTGCTGAGTCGTATGGTAGCTCAATTTCCATCTGTTTTAGATATCGCCAAATCTATTTCCATAGTGGCTGTACATACCTACAGGTCCACCAGCAGTGGATGAGAGTTCCTATCTCACCACAGCCCCTCCAACACTTGTTGCTTTCTGATTTTTTGAATTGGACTATCTTTGACGGTATTAGGTGGTATCTCATTGTTTTAATTTGCATTTCTCTTAATGGGTAATGATCAGGAACATTTTGTCATATGTTTATTGGCTCTTCGGATTTCTGCCCTTGTGAAACTTCTGTTCAATTCCTTTGCCCACCTCCTCAATGGGCAATTTATTTTTTTCTTTTTGGAAGTTGGCAGAAGTACTGTCGATTTTAGAAATATGGCCTTTGTCTGATGTGTCATTGCTAAAGATGTCTTCTCAGTCCATGGGCTCTCATTACTTTCTCGGTCAGTTCACATGGGCTGCATTGTAATGTTGATTTTTCATGTACTTTACATTTTCTTATTTAAAGAAGTATGGTCATATTTTACACTATGTCAAGTATTTCGGTCTTTCATGATCTTGTTTTTCATGCCCTCTTGTACCATACTTCTTTACCATTTAAGATGCAGATAGCCATCCTTTAAGAATGGCTCAAGACTTGCAAGGTAGAATTGGGATCATGATAGTGGGGGGCGGAGGAAGCATTTAGGGACTAGAGGAATGTTGTATTTTTCATTGTTGCTACATCGCACCTGGCTATGTACAGAGGGTGTACACTGGTATAGATAAGAACTGGAAACACAGGGTGTACACTGGTATAGATAGGAACTGGAAACACGGGGAATCCAGGGCGGATGATCCCTTCAGGACCAGTGGTGTGAGTGGCGATACTGCTAGCGATACTGCTAGCGTAGAAGGAGAGTGAGTTGGAAAAGGGGAACCGATTACAAGGATCTGCATGTGATCTCTTCCCTTGGGGACAGACAACAGAAAAGTGGGTGAAGGGAGATGTCAGACAGGGCAAGATATGACGAAATAATAATTTATAAATTATCAAGGACTCATGAAGGAGGGGTGTGCGGAGAGGGAGGGGGAAAAAAGAGGACCTGATGCCAGGGGCTTAAGTGGAGAGCAAATGTTTTGAGAATGATGAGGGCAATTAATGTACAAATATCCTTTACACAATTGATGTATGTATGGATTGTGGTAAGAGTTGTATGAGCCCCTAATAAAATGATTGAAAAATAAAATAAAACAATAAACAATTAAAAAAAAGAAAAATCAAGTGCTCACTAATTACTTTCAGTTCTAGAAGAGAGATTAAGAACCATCCAGGTACTAGGATCAAAAAGATATGCTTGTAATATTCAAATGAATTTGTTGCTTTTAATATTATTAGGACTCCTTCACTGAAGATTAGGGTGGCTCACTTTTGCTCCCAGTACTTAAAAACAAGGCTCTTAAGTTAAACTCCCTTTTGTTATTATACCTGTAATCATTGCCAGATCAGATTTAGATTCCGATGAACTCTTTCCTGCAAATGAATATGGGAGTATATATTGCATTCCTCTGATATGAACGAATAAAAAATTTGTTACAGATAATCTTTTAGGTTAGGACTGTAATACATAGAAACCTAGAGAAGCTCAGAGATCAGAAAAAAAGACTCTATCAAATGAAAAGTGGCATATTTATGGTATACTGTATTAAATTTATTGAGAAATGTTGGATTTTTAGAAAACCTGTTTTCAATACAGGATTTCTGTATTCCTCTTCTAATTAGTTATTAATTACACTACAATATGTTTAATTTAGATACTTTAAGAAATATGCATTCTAGTTATAAAAAAATATATTTGAAAAATGAACATTTTCTTCTGACTTTAATCTATTTTTCTTTTAAAGACTTTTGAAGAAGTTGATAAGCTCAGAAATATTGTAGTTAAGGTGTAAATTGAATACTCAATATAATTATTAGGAAGAAGTTAATACATTTATTTTCTCTATGTCTATTTTTTTCTGATTATGAAAGAATAAGTGAATTTTAACTGATAAACTGCAGGGGCTTAAGAGATTTATTAGATTGCTGAGAGAACAAGGAGCCACTCTTACAAGTGGGATTCTAAGAAATATATATTTGAGGATGATTTAACAATATTTGTTCAAATAAAAAATGTTCATGCCCAGCATTTGTACATTTAGAAATATATTTTATGACTAGAGCTAGCAGGTAAAGCTATAAAGAGAAAAATTTGCCTTGAGAATGATCGATTGTGACATGTTTTCAGATCTCAATTTTATAAAGGAAAATCCTGTTTTAATAAAAATGTGTGTATATATGTTGCTGTTGTTGCTACGTGCCATTAAGTTGACACTGAAGCATGCGGAATAGAACAACTCCATAGGGGGTTTAAGCCTTTGCCCTTCCAGCAGCATATCCCAGACCTGCCTTCCAGGGTTCCTGGTGAAAGAGGGAGGGAGGTGTTCTACTCCCATAAAAAGTTATCATAAGTCTCTGAAACTCACAGGGGCAGTGCTACCCTTTCCTATAGCATCGTAGTAAGTTGTCATGGACTCCATGTCAGCAAGTGAGTGATCTTGCAACGTGTCTCTTTTATAACCATTAGAAGAAAAGCGGAAAATAATGTAAATTTTCAGTTGCTGGTTTACTGCATTAGTGAATCCTTAGACCTACTCAGTTGCTAGCCATCAAATCAAATAGAATAAAAGACATTACTCGGTATTGTTTCAGAGTAGTTTCATTTAAGTTATATTTATGTATGCTTTTGTATGCGGCATATCAAATATAAAATGTGTTTCTTGAGGGTGGGCTGAAGAGGGGGAATGGATTACAGGATCTGCATGTAACCTCCTCCCTGGGGAATGGAAAGGGGGAACCGATTACAAGGATCTGCATGTAACCTCCTCTCTAGGGGACGGACAACAGAAAAGGGGGTGAAGGGAGATGTCGGACAGTATAAGATATGACAAAATAATAATTTATGAATTATCAAGGATTCATAGGGGGGCTGGAATGAGGAGCTGATCCCAGGGGCTTCTGTGGAGAGCAAATGTTTTGAGAATGATGAGGGTAATGAATGTACAAATGTGCATTATATAATTGATGTATGTTTGGCTTGTGATAAGAGTTGTGTGAGCCCCCAATAAAATGATTTTAAAAAAATAATAAAATAAAATGTGTTTCTCATTTATAAACACATTGCTTTTTCACTATAGGTTATGTAAAAATTTTTTTAAAAACCTGAGAAACACTGGTGTATAGCCTCAGTGCTTGATAATAAAATACAGTAAGCATTCCTGTGAAGCCTTTTGTAAGCTGAAATGGCATATATCAGAGAAGTAACTACCATTAATTTATATAGGAATTTTTTAGAATTCCTTGGCCTAACAATTAACCTATCAGTCATACCAGACAGCACATACAATGAAGATAACACTGCTTATATAGTGTCCATAGACCCAATTCAAAGCTGTGATGGCTTGATGCTGTGTAGTTCTTAGGGAAGGAACTTAGCAATACCACTTTCTCTGCTCAGGGTGCGATTGCCTCATTCATAGATTCCTACATTTACTAACACGGACCACTATTTCACTTTACGCCACGCCCCCTTTTTTTTTTTTTTTTTTTGTAAAAGTGAAAATCTTTGCTTGAAAACAGGTACTAATCTAGTCTTTGATAAAAATGAAGTTGAAGTGGTATAAACCATACTTTGGAAAAGTAAGTGATGCTTGTAGGTCAGATTATATTGCTAAAAAAATTTAGTAATTAAGGGGAAAAAATATCTGGGGCTTCAAAATGTGAGAAATTCCATTGTCTTTTAATTCTATTTTCCACAAACATTTAAAACTCCCTCATATAACTAATGGTTAATATACTAATCACATAAACAAATTAATATGAAAGAACTCCACAATCTAATGTTCAGCAGACATTAGACATGAAGTCATAATATGGAGGTTAAAAAATGCAAATGGATAGCAAACATGGAAAAATTTCAAAGTGTGGTTTAAATTTTTCTTTTTATATTACACAGAGAAGGACAAGCCATTATTTTTGTCATTGATAGTAGTGACAGATTGAGAATGGTTGTGGCCAAAGAAGAACTGGAGACTCTTCTGAATCACCCAGGTATGTGGATGAGTTTCCATTTCTGGGTTCCTACATGCTTACGTGCTTGTCTCTGGGTGTGTTATTTTGCTCTTTTCCGTTGATGACAGTGATGCTCATGCTGTTTAATTATCTCTTATTAGACATTTTTAAATACAAAACACATGTAGAATTCACAATATCCTTACCTGCATTTTCTGGGTCTCAATTTTTTTTTCAATGCCTTCTCCCCACAAAAAATGTTTCTCTTTTTTCTGACCACACAGATATATGTGCTGAGAGTAAAAATGCAAACAGCAAAAGAATAAAGGAGGAAGTAGAAATCATTTTATCTTAGTATGCACTAAAATTTGGGTTAGTATCCTCTCATGCATTATACATACGTGTGTGTGTGCTTTTGTGATTATCTGTTCACAGCATTTTTAATATATTTTCTGAAATTCTTCAGAAACATGTTTGTTTTTAGTCCCCCAATCCCTTCTTCCATAGTTAACTGACATTAACAACTAAGTAGGGTGTTATTTTTCTTTCAAACCTTTCCCATATACCCTATTTATATATAGACACATCGATGGCAGTGAGTTTTTTGGTTCAATTTATGATCGTGATATATTTTCCATTTACCTATACCTTTGTAAATTATTATTAGTGATCTTTTATAATACAGAATTTACACATTTTTAAATCAATTTCCCCTCCTTTTTTTAAAAGGTAAATGGTTCATATTTGAATGGTTTATTGCTACTAATGAAAATGCTCTTGATTTATGAACACTGCCTTTTAATCTAATTACTTTGTTAAATATATTTATAATTTCAGGTTGTTTGTGCCCTTAGGTTTAAAGTGAATTTCTTGTGTATGGCATATAGGTGTCCTGTTTTTTTCCCATTTTGACAAATACTGCTCAAATTACAATATTTAGTTTATGTACATTTCATATTATGTTGGATGTTAAGTCGCCATCTTGTTTAATTTTTTTTAACTCATCTACTCTTTTTCTTTTCTTCTTCCTTTCCTTCATTTACTCGAATCAAATATTGTTAGTATTCCACTTTCTATCACTTCTCTGTTAGTTGTCATACTGTGGTGGCTTCTGTGTACCTATGATGCTGAAGGATAAATTATGGGTATTTCAAATACCAGAAGGGTCATCCCAAGTGAACAGGTTTCAGCAGAATTTGCAGCCTACAAAAAAGGTATAGGCTGTTCACTTTTGAGGGATTATCCACAAAAAATCTTGTGGATAGCAGCAGAACATTATCAGCTCCTGAAAACCTCACAGATATCAACAGAGTATTGTCAGGTAATAGTGCCAGAAGGTGAGCCCCTTAGCCCAGGAAGCACTGAGGATATGATTGAAGAACAGCTGGCTTCTCAAAAGAGAGTCTATTATAATGACGTGAATCGAGGAAAATCTTTGGGACCTTGATTTGTTTATTGAACCTGACTCAAAATGAGAAAAAATAGCTGCAAATATTTATTAATAATTGGAACTTGGAATGTATGAAGTATGAATATAAGGAAAAGTGGAAGTCATCAAAAATAAAATGGAATATTAACAGATTGATATCCTACGCTTTAGTCAGCTGATATGGACTGGTATTGGCCATTTTTAATAAAAAAGGCTGAGAATGATGAATTCAAGTGGAATGGTCTTGCATTCATTGTCAAAACAAATATTTCAAGATCCATCCTGAAGTATAATGCTATCTGTGATAGCATATTTATCTGTATGCAGGCAAATCCAATCAATTATTTTTAAAATTTATTATTAATTATTATTCAAATTTATTATTTATTATTATTCAAATTAATTATTATTATTATTCAAATTTATACACCAACCACTAAAGCTAGTCAAGAAGAAATTGAAGAATTCTACCAGTGTCTTCTGTCTGAAATTGATCAAACATGCAATCAAGATGTATTGATAATTATTGGTGATTGGAATATAAAAGATGGAAACAAAGAGGGAGGAACAGTAGTTAGAAAATATGGCCTTCCTTCAGAGGACAGCACTGAAGCCACAGCTCAGCGAGAGGGGAGGGTCTGATCAGAGCACACAGGAGCAAGCAAAGAGGGAAGGAGAGAGAGTAGAATACATCCTGGCCCACCAAGCCCCGGGGACAATATTCCTGCTCAGAACAGCCAATGTATAGACAGGACTATATTTATTTTTTAATTTTCATTAATTACATTTTAAACAATAATAACAATGGCACTACACCAAGATTTCTCAGGATGGACCATACAGAAATCAAATGGACTACATCTATGGGAAGAGACGATAGAGAAGCTCAATATCAGCAGCTGAAACCAAGGCAGGGGACTACTGAGGAACAGACTGTCAATTATATGGATGTGAGTACAAGATACAGCTGTAGGAAATGAAAACAAGTCTCCTAGACTCAGACACTACCCAAACAGTTGAGTATGTACCACTTGAATTTTGAGAATATCTCAAGAAAAGATTTGATGCATTGAACATTAAGGATAGAAGATCTGATGAGCCGTGGGATGACGTCAGAAACATTAAAGATGAAGGAAACAATGGATCATGAAAACAATAGTATAGAAAAGATAATCTGGCTATCAGAAAATATTCTGAAACTGGCTTTTAATCATAGAAGAGCTCAGGCATATGAAAGAAATGATGAAGCCAAGGAGCTCAACAGGAAATGTCAAAAGGCAGCTTGAGAAAATCATTTATTATAATTAAATGTAGAAAACCAAAAAGGAAGAACATGTTCAGCATATCTTAAACTGAAAGAACTCAAGGAAAAATTCAGGCCTCGAGTTACAAATCTCAAAGATTCCATGGGCAACGTGTTGAGAAATGCAAGAAGCAACAATAGAATATGCAAAGAATACACAGAGTCACTCTAACAAAAAGAACTAGTTGAAATTCCACCATTTTAGGAAGTAGCATATGACCAAGAATCAATGATATGAAGGAAGATGTCCAAGCTACAATAAAAGAATTGGCAAAAAAGAAAAAAGTTCCAGGATGTGAAGGTATACCAATTAAAATGTGTAAACAAGTTGAAACACTGATTCATCTATCCCAAGAAATTTGGAAGACAGCTACCTGGCCATCTGTTGGAAGAGCTCATATTTGTATACATTCAAAAAAAAAGGTGACCCAACAGAACATGCAAATTATAAAACAATATCATTGGTAGCACATGCAAGTAAAATTTTGCTAAAGGTGATCCAGCCATTGATTCAACAGTACACTGACAATGTAGTTGCCAAAAGTCAGGCCAGATTCAGAAAAGGACGTGGAGCAAACAATAACATTGATAACTGATGGATCTTGGCTAAAAGCAGAGAATACTAAAAATATATTGACTTGTGTTTTATTGACAATGCCAAGGCATTTGACTATGTGGATCATAATAAACTGGATAACCTTGAGAAGAATGGGAATTCCAGAGCACTTCATTTTGCTTCTTTGGAACTTGTACACGAATCAAGAGACAGTTGTGCAAACAGGGCAAAGGAATGCTGCATGGTTTGAAATCAGGAAAGTTGTGTGACAGAGTTGTGTCCTCTCACCGTACTTGTTCAACCTGTATGCCGAGCTAATCATCAGAGGAGCTGGATTATATGAAGAAGAATGTGGCATCAGGATTGGAGGAAGGCTTTTTTTCCCCCAAAAAATAATCTGGTTATTTAGTTTTAAATACTTTTATTGGGGACTGTTACATCTCTTATCTCAATCCATACATTCCTCCCATGTGTCAAGCACATTTGCACAAATGCCGCCATCATCATTTTCAAAGCATTCTCTTCCCACTTGAGCGTTTGATATCAGGTCCCCATTTCTTCCCCCTCCCTCCCCAGTCCTCCCTCCCTCCCGAACCCTTGATAAGTTATAGATTATTATTTCCCTATCTTACATCATCCTCCGTTGCCCTTCACCCACTTTTCTGGTGTTTGTCCCCCTGGGAGGGGGTTATAGGCTGATCCTCCCCCTTTCTCCCCCCACCCTCCCCTAATCCTCCTGTTATCTCTACTCTCATTGTTGGCCCTGAGGGATTTATCTATCTTGGATTCCCTGGGTTGCAGACTCTTTGTGCATGTTTTGGTCTAATCCGATTTGTAAGGTAGAATTGAGGTCATGATAGTGGGGTGAAGGAAGCACTGAAGAACAAGAGGAACGTTGCGTTATATCGGTGCTATAATGCACCCTGGCTGGCTCATCTCTTCCCTATGACCCCTCTGTGAGGGGATGTCTAATTCCATGCCCACCCCCCATTCACTTTGGGTATGGTTTTATTTTGGGTCTTAGATGCCTCTTACCTGATCCCATTGACACCACTGGTGTGCTTCTTCGATGTGGTTTTTGTTGTTTCTCAGCTAGATGACCGCTTGTTTATCTTCAAGCCTTTAAGACCCCAGACGCTATATCTTTGGATAGGCGGGCACCATCAGCTTTTTTCACCACATTAGCTTATGCACCCATTTTGTCTTAAGCAATCATGTCGGGAAGTTGAGCATCACAGAATGCCAGATTGTTAAAGTGTTCTTGTGTTAAAGAGCACTTGAGTCAATGCCCAATGTTCATCTGTAACCTTAATTCTTAACATATAGATATGAGTGCATAGTTCTCATATGTACATGAGTACATAGTACTATGTACATAGTACGTATGTACAAGCCTGTATTTTGGCCTCTATAAATGTCCTTTGCCTCCTTGTTCTTTGGAGGAAAGCTTATTAACAGCCTGTGATATGCGGATGACACAACCTTGCTTGCTAAAAGTGAAGAGGACTTAAAGCACTTGTTGATGAACATCAAGGATTACAGCCTTCAATATGGGTCACAACTCAGTGTAAAGAAGACCAGAATCTTCACAACTGGACCAATATATAATATTGGTCATGATAAATGGAGGAAAAGTTGAAGTTGTCAAGGATTTTGCCTTGCTTGGATCCACAATCAATGCTCATGGAAGTAGCAGTCAAAAGATTAGATGACACATTGATTTGGAGAAATTTGCTGCATAGGACTTTTTTTTTTTAATCATTTTATTAGGGGCTCATACAACTCTTATCATAATCCATACACATCAGTTGTGTAAAGCGCATTTGTACATTCATTGCCCTCATCATTCTCGAAACATTTCCTCTCCACTTAAGCCCCCGGCATTAGGTCCTCATTTTTCCCC